GGGGGGGAGCTGCAGCCGCTGCTGCAGGGCCAGGCGTGGGCGATGTTGCCCTGCCTGCGAGGTGCTGCCTGCTCATATATGGGCAAGAGTGGGGAGCTTGGATTGGAAAGTGTGAGTCAAGGCTTAGGTCCTGCCTCGTCTTGCAATGTTTGTGCCTGTCTTCAGGGGCATCCCAGCTGGCGCTGGAGCCGATGCTCACCCAGGCTCCGTGCAGCACCAGCACACCGGGGCCCAAACAATGGCTTTATAAGGGCAGAGCCACTCTCCTTGCACTGCTGTTGTTTTGCCATCGCCCCCTGAGCAGTAGTGGGGGGCCTCTGGAGCTCAGGCAGGGGCTTTCCCAAGGCCCTGAGCATGGCCCCCCCTCCCCACGGCAGCCGAATCACGAGGTGGGGCCAGTGTCGGCCAGGCCATGGGCTCAGGGCCCATCGCCTCCACGGCTGCATCGACTCCAGCGCAGCAGAGGCCCCGTGGGAGAGCTGGGGTAGTGAGCTGCAGGAGCTGGGTCCCAGCAGAGCCCTGGGCTGGGTGGCTCTCCTTGGCTCTGCTGTTCCCCAGGGCACTGGCACCAGCTGGGGGTCCCTCCTTGGCTGTGCCAGTGCCAGCCCAGGGGCTGGGGTGCGGTGGGCTGTGCTGGGGGGCTGAGGCATGCAGGGGGGGTTACTGCAGCGTGGGGAGAGGGCTTGGGGCGTTGTGGTGGTGGTGGGTGGCAGCTTGGGATTCAGAGCCTCCTTGTGCTTGGAGCTGCCCAGGGCACCCTGTTGTTGGGGCAAAGCCCCTGCCAGAGGGTGGCACCAGGGCTAGAGCAGCCAGGCCGGCCATGGCATCAGCCAGGGCTGCCATTTCATGCCAAGCGGCTCCCAGGTGCTGGCACAGCCCCCGTGCCAGGCGCTCATGGCTACATTGGCCATTATTGGCAGCAGCAGCCTGGGGTGCTCCGGCACTGTCTGCCCCATGGTGGGTGTTGGCACCTGCTGCACTGCCTGGCAGGGGTGCAGGTACCTGGGCAGGGCTGGCGGGGGGGGGGGGGGGGGA